AAAAAAAAAATAGGAGCTTGTTATGGGGAGCAGGCATTTGTGTCTTTCCAGCATTTCCAGTGAAAATTGATCCTCCCAGTTCATTTCTTTTGTTTTTTGTTAGTTTTTTTTCACTAGTTCTTTGTTATTGAGCTCAGACAGTAAGTAAAGTCTATTTAATAAGTGCTTTTCATAGACAGGCAGTCTGCACAGAAAGGGTAACATAACCAGAATGTTAAGTAACAAAATCAACAATATAAACAATACAAAAGGTTACACGTACATAAAATGTCAAATTAAAAAAAACAGTAGATACAGTGGAAAGTGATTTGGTTTGGATTCTGCAGTCCCACAGAAGATTAGGTCATCTCAAAGTGATTATGAATCTGATATTGTTTCTCATATATCTCTGAATGTGGTTGAATCCAAACTATTTTTAATATTCTGATTTTCCTGTTGGAATCCCGACAGCATTAGATCAATGAAAATAAGTATAGCACAGACCTTAGAGAAACCGCTGTCTGGGTTAAATGGTAAATGGTAAATGGCCTGTATTTATATAGCGCTTTACTAGTCCCTAAGGACCCCAAAGTGCTTTACATATCCAGTCATCCACCCATTCACGCACACATTCACACACTGGTGATGGCAGCTACATTGTAGCCACAGCCGCCCTGGGGCGCACTGACAGAGGCGACAGAGGGTTAATTCAAGTCCAGTGACCAAGAGCATGAACAGGTTTGCTTAGTGTTGCATTTTTTGTTCAGGAAAACTTAGCTGGTGAAACAAAACAGGACAGACGATTAACAAGCCCCTAAAATTAACAAGTGTCCAATGTCAGCCTCTTATATAGCCTCAAACAGAGTTTCTGTCTGATTTAGTGCTCAGCTCAGATAAAATAATTATTGTGGGTGATTTTAACATCCATGTACATGCTAAAAATGACAGCCTTAACATGGCATTTAATCTGTTGTTAGACTCAATTGGCTTCTCTCAAAATGTAAAAGAACCCACCCACCACTTTAATCACACTCTAGATCTTGTTTTAACATATGGCATAGAAACTGAACATTTAACAGTGTTTCCTGAAAACCCTCTAATTTGAGGTAATCTCAAAGTGTAATTGTTACGGTCGCTGACCTCTAGTGGCTCTCCCTCTGTGTAGGAGTTTTTTTCTCCTTTTCTTGTGTTGCAGGTCTGCCTCATGAGCCACAGCTGAGGTGTGTTACAGCTCGTCAGCCACGGCATATAGTCTGCCATCCTAAACTGTCACACCCCTGCCACGTCCCCCATTTTTGCCAGAGCTGTGAGCT